AAGGGGGCGGGCGATGTGGGGGCGTGGCATTTTGGGGGGCACTAACATTTGTCATTACACATTAATAGCGCACCATTAATCTTTTTCGTGAGCCGAGCGCACGGGGGTCAAAATGAATGAATGCTGCTGAGCCGAGGTCTGGACCTGAATGTGAATCTGAACCTGGATCTGGACCCGAGTCGTCTGTCGCACAAAACCGTTAATTAATGTATGCCATTTAGCTGGAAAATTGCAAAAGGGACACACACTCACATACACAAATTGGTTTAAGCGCTAGAGATGGTGGCGTGAATTGGAATTGGATTACCACTAAATTTTTGATCAAATAAAAATAGTTTTTATTTATCAATAAGTTTCAAAATACCAAATTATAATTATGTTTAAAAAAATATAAAAAAATTTGAATTTTTTATTAAATAAATAACAAATTTACTCTGATCAAAGTGTAAAGGGATTGTTTTTCATAAGTAGCGATATTGGTTATCGTTTTATTTATGATATTCCTATTATATCGTTTTATTAAAAATATTACACATTTAAATTTCTTCATTGGTATGAGGGTACATTATTTACTTTTAATCGAAGGTCACTAATATATAACATTTCAAAAGTAAAGACAATTTTATTTTTACAAGGCTATGTCAAGAGACAAATTTTTAAACAATTTTAATAAATCAAAGTTATGTTAAAGGAAATGAAATTTTTTTGATAATTAAAATTAAATGAATATGGAATTATGTATTTTTTTAAATCTTTATATTATTTAATGTTGACATTCAGAGGTTATCCAATAAATGATGGATTATGTTAAGTTTTCAAATCCACTTTGTTGGTAATTAAATTGTCAAGACTATTGCTTGGGAATTTGCCAATTAAGATTGTCACCACTAACGCATACGTGTTTTGCCAGCCCATCATAATGAGCGGCAATTTAGTGCCCTTTTGAATGGTGGTGGATGTGGGGCTGAGCCGCTGGACGGGTGGGTGGTAATTTGGGTGGTGGGGTGGTTGGGCGGTTCGTCGTTGTCGCCACCGCAAACAAGCAAAGGCAAAAGCCGCAGGTGCGGAGAATGGGGAAAAAGGGATCGGGGTCTGCCATTGCCCAGCAGGTATGCTTGATTAATGCTTTATAACAAGGCTCGCACAAAGCACACTCTGAATGCACACCCACGCCCACACAAACCACTGGATGGCGGTTCAACGCCCCACCATTCCATCACCCAACCACCTAACCACCCACCTCCTGCGTCCTTGCATTTTAACATTAATTTAGCGGAATGCTGCAGAAGACTATGAAAAGCTTTTCAGCATTCGTCGACACATGTTAATCCGTGTTGTTGTAATTGCTTTCCGTTGGTCTACCCAAAATTCCAAAAACACTTGAAGTTCTGCAACAATGGAGATTTTGTATGGTTCGAATACTTTGATAGTCGAAAATCAATGCAATTGCTGGGTAATGATGCAAAATGTGTTACGGAAATTACATTAAACATGTTTTTAAAAAAATAAATTTATCAAATTTAAATAGTTCGATTTTCAGGAGTTTTATTTTTGCAAAATAATAATATTCAATAACCAGGTTAAATTCTTATCAGTCAACGCTTTATACTTGTATAACAATTTGTTCTATCCTAAGTACAAATACACATTTTAAAAATAATTTCTAAAATGTGTACCTACTTTCCATTTTTTTCTCTTAATTCCTTTGTAATTTAAAAAGTTCTTTCCTGTTTTTTTTTTTGCATTTTCCAACTGCAAAGTGCATATTTCTTTGCGTCTGTGATCCCCCAGCGGCCCTTTGGCGACTTAATTAAATTAAGACATTCAAAAACTTGCAGATCTTGTTTGAGCATCATACTTTTGACGCTGGCGATTATTATTATTTTTATTCCTCATGGCACTTTCCTTTTTATATGATTTTCTCTTTCCTTTTTTTTTGCATTTTCATTTCTGCTGAGCTCTTCGCCCTTGAGTGCTTCCTGTGGCGTTCATTCATTAGGCAAAAGCGGAAGAAAACTCGAAAAGTCAAAAAAAAATAAGAGGCTAAAAAAATGTGTCTAAAGAGTTAAAAGGTTTATTCACTTTGCGCCGCCTGACGTTGAATCCGAGTTTCGGTGGCTGGAGACACATTTTCCGAGCTGAACATTAAGTAATTATAAGTTGGCCAGGAGTTGAGCCAGGCTGAACAAAGTTGCAAGTTGGCATCTGCAACTAGGCAAACACATATTGCATGTCTACACCCTGGTAGACAGGCAGACACTGGCGCACACTGCGTATGCGTAATGTGTTGAATAATTAAATTGTCAAACAATTGGCTTTTGGCAAGTGCGAGAGACTGAGGAAAGATGACGATGACGATGAGAGAAAATGCTGAAGCTAACCGGGATTTATATTGTCTTAGCCAAGAATGGAAATCGCTTAATCATCTTTAATTGAAAGCACTTGATGAGCTAGTCAAATGCCAATGAACAACGAACAATGAACAAAGGACGATTCGAACAATCGGCATTATTTATAATGCTTTTTAATCTCCATCTGAATTTGCATTTTCCTCTGGTTTTTTCTCTATGAGTGTGTGCTGATATGATTCAATTTCCTTGTCATCATGCAAACGTTTTCAATTAAACTGTATTTATTATTTAGCAGATAAAGCAAACAATTCCCTGTTAAATAGTTAATAATGTTAAGTCGGCTTATCGCTGTTCAAAGTTTCTGGGGATCAATTTCGTTTTAAACAAAAGTGCCAAGAAAAAGGATTTAGTTAAATGTGATTTTATTTGACAAAGGAATTTCATTAAATAAATAATATAATACACTCTAGTTTAATTATGTTTTCTAAGCTGTTTAAGTTTATTTCATTCAATTGCAATTACTATGTTTATTTAATCTTAACCATTGGATTCTATTTAAATTTGGATTTTAAAAGCTTTTAGGCAGATTGCCTGGACTTGCAGTTGGAAAAGGAGTATCTTTAACCGCAAATCTACTGAGTTGTTAACTATGTATGAATATATTAAAGCGGTAAGTATTTATAAATTCTCGAATCAAATCAAAACGTTTTGCCTTTGTTTTGTTTATTATTATATTTTATAAAATTGACTATAATTTAAAAAAGAAATAAAATGTAGAATACTTCTTTTCTTTTATCTTTGATTTTGTTTTGCCTTTATTTTGTTTATTATTATATTTTATAAAATTGACTATAATTTAAAAAAGAAATAAAATGTAGAATACTTTTCTTTTATCTTTGATTTCTTTTGACTCCTCAAATTATATTAAACTATTTTTAACCTGGTTAATTTCACTATTTTCTTGTCTATTATATAATCGTCTATACTTTAATTTCAAACTGGTTTTAGTTAGTGAGGTAATCATTTCGCCCTACTCTTTGATTTCTTTTAATTCCTCAAATTATATTAAACTGTTTATGGCTTGATACTTATTATTATAAACTTTTATATTATATGAAATTGTCTAAAATTTCAAACTAGCTTCAGTACAATAAAATGTAATAAAATACGAAAATTTGGTCTACAATTAGACGACTCCTTCGCCTTCATCTTCTTCCTCCTCGCCCTCATCGGCTGCCAAATCTTCAGCAGCTTTTCTCCCGGCAGCGGAACTCCTTCGACTTCCTCCGGATTTTTGCGAACTTCGGTGACTCGCAGTCTTTGATTTTCGAGGAGGTGGCTCTGTGCAGCTGTATGGCGGCATACCGAACTCCTCGGGATCGAAGTCCTCCAAGGTTTCCAATCGCAGGGAGGCCAACTCAGACCAGCAACAGGGAAGATCCTTTTCGGCCAGCATGACAACTGGCAATCGAGCATCCGCAGCTGCCTGGACTCCTTTGGGAGTGCCATCGAACACCAGGGTGCAATCCGGTCCAGCATCGCCCAGTCGCGACATGGCAATCAGGTAGACATCCGGTTCCGGCTTGAATGCCCTCAATTCCGGATCATCCGCACAGATCACCGATGAGAAGTTCTCGAAGAAGTCCTCCCTACCGCGGATCTTGGTGCAATACATGGATTCCGAACACGAGGTGACCAATCCCAACCCCAGACAGCATTTGCGTAAGTGGGTGACCAATCGCAAGACTCCAGGCATCAGCGTGGGATTTGCAATCAAATCGGAGGTGCGTTCGTTCAGCTGAAAGCGAAAACTCTCCCAACTCACAGGCAGATCACACTTCCGACAAATCAACTCCGCCATTTCAGCCGTTTCCATGGGTCCACTTTGGATCAGCAAATCCTCGGGCACCATCCTGTTGTAACTCGAGGCCAGCTCGTTTAGAGCCCTCGTGTAAACGTGGCGAGTGTCTGTTTGAGAAGTCTCAGAGTATTACAAATCCCTAAGCTCTTTTTGCCAACACTATCTCACCAAACACCGCACTTTCCAGATCGAAAATGCAGTAGCTAATACCCGGACTACAGCACGTCGGTGGACAACTGGAACACTTCGGCGGAGCTCTGCATGTTTTACAGCAGGGAGTGCACATCTTTGGGGCTGCACCACAAGGATTCTACCGTAGAAATTCAAATATAAGTTTTCCGAAATTGTCAATTTTTGTATTCTACGAATTTTGGTCTAGCACTGACGTTTGTCGCATTGAAAACAAAGATACATTTTCTTCGTCATCACCTGAGCCCTAATAATAAAATAACAGTATTGATCCAGACAAAGGAATTGTATTTCAGGAACTGAATAGGATTAATAATATTTAATATCCTAAAATTTTATGATCGAGGGACTAAGTTGCTCCCAGAGAACAAAAATTTTTAAAGCAATACCGATGACGACACTTGTTCGGAACTCAACATCTTTACTCCGTTTGATTTTAATCTAATCTACTTTATTTCAATCATTTTCTGTTTAAAAAATACAAAAATGGCTGTACACTTTTAAAAACAATTTTTATTTGAATAAAATGTCATCAAGCGAAATCACTTAACAAGGCTATAAATAATAATAATAATAATATTAATAAATAAAACATGTGGTAACTTTTGATTTGTTTTTAATTGTGTTATATAAAACAAAAAAAAATATTATGTCAAATGTTAAGTAAAAATAAGTTATTCTCTTAAGTTCAAAACGGATGGTTCTGCGATATCAATCAGAGGTTGTGGCACCTCCGGCGGTGCCTCCTGTTCCTCCTCCTCCTCAGCAGCCGCGGCTTCGGCGGCTCTCCTCCGAATCACGGTCAACCTGCGGCTGTATCGTGTCCGTCGACGACTCGATCGCCTTCGAGGAGGAGGGTCCGTAAACGGCGGCATGTTGAGCATCTCCGGCTCGAAGTCGTCCAGGTACTCGAAGCGCAGGGCGGCCAACTCAGACCAGCAACAGGGCAGATCTTTATCCGCCAACATGACAACTGGCAGTCGAGCATCCGCAGCTGCCTGGACTCCTTTGGGAGTGCCGTCGAACACCAGGGTGCAATCCGGTCCAGCATCGCCCAGTCGCGACATGGCGATCAGGTAGACATCCGGTTCCGGCTTGAAGGCCCTCAGTTCCGGATCATCCGCACAGATCACCGACGAGAAGTTCTCGAAGAATTCCTCTCTGCCGCGGATCTTGGCGCAATAGTTCGCCTCCGAGCAAGAGGTCACCAATCCCAATCCTATACAGCAGTTACGCAAGTGATTCACCAACCGCTCAATGCCGTCCATAAAGGGAGGATTCGCTATCAACTGGGAAGTGCGCTCATTCAACTCGAAGCGAAACGATTCCCAGTCTATTGGCATGTCGCACTTTCGGCAAATTAATTGCGACATCTCTGAAGTCGTCATGGGTCCGCTTTGAATATATAAATGTTCTGGGATCCTCCTGTCGTAGCTCAGGGCCACCTCCTTTAGGGCCTTCCGGTAGATGTAACGGGTGTCTAAGTATAGACACTTATTAAAACTCTTAGGTGTTTCGCATAAACTCACCAAAAACTGCGCTTTCCAGATCAAAAATACAGTAGCTAATGGCCGGACCACAGCACGTCGGTGGACAACCGCAACATTCCGGTGGAACTTTGCAAGGACTGCACATCTTGTCGGAACCAGAAGGACCTGAGGGCTCTAGGATTGCAGGACAGATCTAAATTTTCTATAAATTTATATCTACATGCTCCGAATCAAGGCCTAATAGAGAGGTTTTTGGCAGTAGAAACGATGCTAACGATGATTTATTGCATTCAAATGTGAGTTCGAACCTACAAATACAATTTTTTTAAAGTAATTATGTCATGGTCAGTGAAAGCTCATAAAAATGATTCAACTACATATATAATCCGATATAATTTTTATTCTTGAAATTTTACTAAATTAATATGAGCGATAAAAGTAGCTATTTGAGTTTTATGTAAATCTCTCTCAAAACAAAAAGTTAAGTTTAATTTTCAGCTCTATATTAATATAAAACTTAGATTGTCAGCTTGTTCCGGTATTTTATTGGCACAATCACAAGGAAGTTTCATTGATATATAAAGTTTAGATGGTAGGAATTTATTTTCAATTAATGGCGAGAGTTCTTTATGAAAGACATTTGAAGCAAACATTCTACAGAGGTGGTAGTCCAAAGTACTGAGGCTTGAAGCCCTCCAGGGATCGCAGCCTCAAAGTGGCCGGAGCACTGGCTCGAATGGAGACCAGAGGATCGGGAACGAGGACCACTTGCATGCCGGCGGCCAGAGCAGCCTCCATTCCCACGAGCGAGGACTCGAAGACGAGGCACTTGCTCGGCTCTGGAGGATCCTCGAAACGAGAGGCTGTGGTTAGAAAGATATCTGGAGCTGGCTTTCCCTCCTTGACCTCCTCATCCGAGCCACTCAACACCACATGATGGAAGACATCGAAGAGTCGGGAATGTCGCTTCGTCTTTATGGCAAACGAATCGCGACAACTGCCACTTCCGATGGCCATGGGCACATTGAACTTATCAAGATGTTTCAAGAGACGTTCAACACCCGGCATCAGTCGTATGAAACCCAATTTGCTGCGACTTTGAAGCTCCTGCTGAACCTCGAACTCGGTGCGACTGAAGGGCAGATTGAAGGTGTTCACTATAAGTTCAGCCTGCTCGGCATCTGGCTTTCCCATGCACCTCATCCTAATATCAAAGCTATATGTGTGACCATAGGGATCCAGAATCCTTTGCACACACTCAGTTCGCAGACGTTCGCTGTCTATCAACAATCCATCCAGCTCGAAAATGCAATGGGTAACGGGCTGAAAGGAACAACACCTCAAATACGGTTTTATACCTTTATCCTCCTCAGACATTTTTGTATTCTTAAATTTTGATTTATTTTATTGTAAGAGTTATAGATCCACAAATTTTGAGAGATAAATTTAGAGTGCTACAAGTATTTCATACTCAATTTAAATATTTTTCAGGTTTTGGCTATTTGAAATTTAAAGGTATTACATTTTTTTGAAGTTGTTAATTTGATAATTTTCGGAATAGATTTTAAACAAAAAAATTAAATTAAAATTTAATAATATGGTTTACAGTTAAATAATGCTTTTAAGTCAAATAGAACACATTTTAAATCTGATATTTATCACATAAGTTAAATATATATATATTTATAAAATGTTGGTCTTAATAGCCATATATTTTTTTATTAAGCCAACTACTCCAAGTAGTTGCCAAAGGCGTTTTAAAACCTTTATTCGACATTTAAATATACTTTAAATTTGATATATTTTATTTTTAAAGATCTACAAGTTTCTAGAGATGAATTTATAGTTAGCCAAATTCGAATTTGGAGCAGTTTCCGAAGGCGGGGAGGCCAAATAGCTCGGGCTTAAATTCCGTCATCGATTTGAGCACCAAAGTGGCGCCTTTTCTCTGCTCCTTGGTCACATGAGGCTGGGGTATAAAAACGACCTGTGATCCAGATTCCATACCACCTCTTAGTCCAGCCGGAGAATCCTCGAATATCAGGCACTTTTTGGGATCCGCTGGTGGATTGAATCTCGAGGCGGCCAGAAGAAAAATATCCGGCTTGGGTTTTCCCCTGCCAATTGGCAATTGGGGATCGTCTCCACAGACAACGTGATGAAAGGCCAGCATTATGTCCTTATGTGGCTTGGCCTTCAGCTTAAACAGCTCTCTTCCCGAACTTGTGGCAATGCAGAAGGGTATTCGGTATTCGTGCAAATGGAGTATCAAATCCTTGACCCCTGGTAGCAGCGGAACATTTGCCAAATATCGATTAGAAAGTGATTGGAAAATTTCGAGGAATTCCTCTTTCTTTATAGGAAGATTCATCTCCTGCACGATGGCCTGCGAAAAAGTGTCCACTGGCATTCCCAAGTGATGGGTATGATCAGTTGTGTTGTAAGTTATGCCAAACCGATCTAAAATTTCTTGAACTGCTCTTAGGTAAATGACTTCGCTATCTAAAAAGGGTATTTAAAGTGTTAATTAAGCGCTATTTTGTGAGCAAAGTATTAAAAGTTCGTAGTCCGTTTAGGATAATTTAATAATAATTAACACATTTTCTTGTGTTTAAGGGTTGTTAATGAAAGGTTTTACCCATCAAGGTGCCATCGCAATCGAATATGACATGGGTGACTGGGCAGAAACATTTCCTCGAAGGCATTTTTATGCTGGTCTATTTAGTTGGTCTCTTGGCCGCCCTTTCTTCTCTCAACATGCTGATTAAATTTTGACTAATATTATGTTTTTTCAATCCGAAAATAGAATCCAAAATATTTACATTTGTCTAATAGATTTTGTTTTAAAAAATGTAGACATAATGCGGAAAGCTATCATGTTGGAATGGATGAAAATCAAAATGAAAAAAAAATAAATTGAGTTTTTAATTGCTTTATTTATACATTGTTATATTATGTTAGGTAACAATTAGTTGTGATTAGCTAAATAAAATGTTTATTTTCCTAATTATAGATATTTTAAGGAAAGGCTTTCTTAAATGAGATTTCATTGACATCGGAAGTTCACATTTGTCTGCTGTTTTCCTTGGCGCCTGTTCGCGATACTTTGGCACTTTTATACATTTAGCCAAGTCTAATGCATGCGGTGCACGCTTTTCGGCCAAGATCCCCCTGCCGTTCGCATGTTGTTACAAAGTTGCGTAATTGATTAAGCAGTTGGCAGCCAGGCCGCAAGAGACGTTTTCGGCAACGCGTCGCCGAAACTTTGGCTTTGGCCAATACGTGCCACAAAATTCGGCAGAATGGATATGGGTATGGGTGTGGGTGCGGGTGGTGCATACAGCATGTGGCGATGTGGGGCAAAAGTTTCTGCGGTGGGCTGGGTGGGTGAGGTGTATCAAAGGTGAATGCGTCGCGATGCTTGATTTTGGAACGGGTTTAATGGCCAAACGTACCGGGGCTATATAAAACGAGTTAACGAAAATGTTTGTGCATGCTGAAAGACTTTGCGAGTAAGTTGACTATGGAAATTTAGGATATGCAGAAATTAAAAAATACCTTTTGATTTTCCTGAAAGAAATTTAAGAAAATAATGAAAATAAAAAATATAAACTTTAAATGATAATATAAGAATAGGAACACTTGTGTAAGATAATGTTAGTCTAATCAAGAGTTAGAAGACTTATTTATAATTTAGAAACAATTTAATTTTTACATTGACTTACATACTATTTATTTAATTTATATAATTAGCTAAAAAAAACAATATAAATTAAACTAATAAATAACACAGCAAGTAGTTTTTCTAAAAATGGCTTTTTTAAATGCCCTAAATACTACCACAATTATCTACATAAATCTAAGCATTTGAAAAGTTCAACTCAAGTGCCCCATTGTCTATCCAACGAAGTGGGCAATTTTATTACCTTCTATTGGCAACGTTGCTTCAGTTGCACTCAAAACCATTGACCGTAACGCATTAATGTCCTGTGGCCGCCAAAATCGAACCAGAAGTTGGTTCGATGGCTGCTTGGATGGTCGAATGGCTAACTGGCTCGCTGAGCTTGCATATTTTATGGCCAAGTCCAACTTTAATTGGAACAATACCAATAAATGCCAAATGCAGATGGCCAAAAGGGAGAGCCAAAAAGTTTGATGTGCATTGACCGGGATATCGAAGGATTCAACCCACCAACCCAATGGCAGTCCGCATCGGTGGAAATCAGCTCAAGGGGACACATTTGGTCAAACACACACACACACACACACACAGCTACACACACACATAGCCACATCGACCGCAAGGATAACAACGGCTTTTGGCCGCCGTCGCTGCAAGTTTGCGGTTTTTGGGGAAATGAAATGCAGGCAGACCGGTTAACAATTCAATGAACGCAATTACAGCGCCCAGATTTCAGGTGGCAGGTGGATAGCGACGTTGCCACGACAGCGATTAGAGACGACGCGTTTAAATTAAACGTTTACAACATATTGTTGTTAGCCAACGAAGTGGGAATGCCCCATACCAAACAAAAAAAAAGAGAAGAGAACAAATAAATGCAGAATAGACCATAAGTTACTACGTGCACCGCTAATATATATGGCGCCCATCACTGGGCAATGCGGGCGAAACATATATAGAGCATTTAAAAACTCCAACGGGTTGGTAATACTTCCTTAGTTATATTGTTAATTATTGGACTAACAATAATATATATATTCAATAAAAAATAAATATATTTAAATAAAGAAACTTAGCAATTTTAAATAAATATGGCGCCCAACGGTATGCAATATGGACTTTATTAATTCTATAAAGAATTGTTATATCTTATATTAATAAATTTATACAATAATTAATAAATATAATTTAAGAAAGATTAGAAGCAAATATTCCCTTTAATCCAAAAATTACTTGGTATAAAAAAGGTAAAACAGTTAAAACGTTTTGTCATAAATGCTGTTCCACCCAAAATGGCTGGCTGCATAATTTATGCACACAATTCGTCACTGCATTCGAATGTCCTGAAGCTCGAGTCCTGTTCTCATTTGGTTGCCACAACAGCTGACGCACAGAGTCCGGAAAAATGTCCGTCCTCCGGCTAACCGTCCGATTAATTAAAAGGCATTTTATTGACTGGCATGGGATGGGGTTGTGCTTAAATGGGCGATGTGTGTGGAAAGGGCCACTTTTATCGCCAGTACCTTGGTGGTGCTGACAGCAAATTGCTTTGGCTGATTTGGCATTTTCCACTGAGTCAATAAGAAATGAAATGCGATTGAATGAGCTTGGAGCATTGAAAAAGGGTAAAGAGGATTTCATACAAAGTAAAATCAATGTCAGCTATTTTCTTTAAACATCTCTTAATACACGGATTTGGAAATCTTTATTAAAGACATTAAAACCTTTAAACTAAATTTAAAAAATTACATAAACAATTATTAAATGTTGTTATTTTGTACTTAGTTTTTAAAGAGCTATGCTATCACCTAAACAAGATATGTACTTTGCCTTCAATGGCGACTCCAAACATTCCTTTCGACAGAATCCCGAAAAGATGACGAACCCAAGCCTTGGGCCACCGCAAGGAATACCAAATTGAATAAATAGTATACGCTATAATCTCCAAAGAGTAACCCAATAGCTGGCGGGCAAGCCACAAAAACTGCAGGCTTGAGTCGTCCTTTGGCACTCAATAAATGTTATCCATCTATGTGCATAGCAGGCTCAAATGTCAGTCACATATTCCTTCAATCATCACGACGCCCTCTGGAGCGATTTCCCAAAGGGTCTTCAGTGCAACAATGTCGTGGGGAGGGGGGCGATGGGGGGGTGGGTAAAAAACATGGGCACAAAGTCCAATTTGTTTGTAATGGCATTACTTTGTTTACAAAACAAATTTTGTATGCATAGCGAGTAGTAGTAGTAGTCTTTGTTGGGAGAAAAGAGGTGAACTGCACACCCAACTCGAGGCAGTCTGTGAAAACTGGAAAGCAAAAATGGAAAGGCGGACAAATAAAATATAGACAGTGAGATATATACATTGTGTATGTTTGCACAGCTTCTGAGAATCGTTGTACCATAAAATTTCCCCAATGGTCGCTCGGAGTTTTCGGTTTGCAAGGACCCTCCATTCTGCCTTTTCGCTGTTTAATTTTACAATTGTCCTTTTTCGTTATTTCTGCCCAGGGAACGAGGCGAGTGGGTGGGTCAGGTTTATCTATGCGCATCCGTTCCAAGTGCGGCTTTGTGATTTATGCTCATCTCTGTTGGCCAACATTTGTTTTGCTTACCAAGGCCGACTGAACAAAGGAGTTTTTGAGAAAAGATAACCTTCTATCGATTAATTGCTTATGTTGTCGCTTAATATCATTACGATTAAATTTTTCGAAAACTTAAACAAATGAAAACACGGAATGTGTAAGGAATATAAAAAAAACTGTTGCACAAGATTCTGATAAAAACAATTTAGAAGTGAAGTTGGTAAAGTTACCTAGGATAAACAAAATTAATTTTTTATTTTTGATATAAATGAAATACGAAAATAATTTAATTTGTAATATTCTCCAATAGTATTTTAGGTTGAATTTCTTATACCTTACCCAAGTTATCATAAATTAAAATACACATTGGTATCTTACTCTTCAATAAACTGTATAACTTTGTCAAGTTTAATCAATTATTGTTGTACAACTTTTATAAATTTGTGCTCCATATTTTAATTATTAACATATCAAAAGAAGGAAAATAAAAGTTAAGTATCTTCAGGACATGACTCCTGGGCAACTTTACTCATGTCACCTACAACAATCCCAGCATTATGTGCATAGTGCTGAGCCAAATATATTATATCCGGGGGGGGTAAACGTTTACGTGTCTGGATGACAGCCCAGTCTAATAAATAAAATAAACAATATTAATAATTATATAATCTAGTCTGTTTAAACAAAACACAACTCACGAAAACTGAAAATGTGGCTGGCATCGAAGCACATAAAGCGTATGGCAAAGTTATCATAGTCCGTATCCAGTACATAAATCAGCACGCCTTCAGGAAATGCTACAATCAATATTCATTAATGCTTTTTTATCAATTTTAGCCAATAGCCAATACAATTACCTGTATTTCTTGTGCCCAAAATATACCTTCCCATGTTTGCCTCTATTTTTATAATATCCGCTTTTCTTACCTTTACTGTACCGGTTCTGTGGAGGGAATTTCAATTACATGGCTTTAAAATATATAACAATTTCTTACGTCAAACTCAGTTCACGGGCAATAACGTGAAATTTATCCGCAGTGTCTTCCAAAAATTCCGTTGACTGACATTTTCCTATTCGAAATGAGAGAGGAGGATAAAGGGAGTGAGTGTACCACTTTCCTTTAAAACGATCCATATCCAAGTCGCTAACTGATGTCATGTTTGATGGGCAGGCTCCATGGAAAGCCCTCATGGCCAAGGAAAGGTGGAGATCGAGCAAAACAAGGCTTAACAATAAAAAAATGATGGATTAAACATTATTTTAAATGTATACTATACTCACGCAAAAAATGTCCACTTGTTCATGCTGAAAAAGTTCAAATAGAAATGAGAATAAAATCGTTTGGCCAGGCTAAGTTAAATCTACTTTAAACGCTTTAACACAGTTTAATCAAGATTTTCCGAGTAATCTTTACACTTAAATTTCCGACTAAGAAAGTGAAACCAAATTAATTATTTCGAATTAAGTAATACACTATTAGATCATTATAATACTTACAAAGATGTCTAAAAGTATGCAATAATACTAAATTCCGATGGATTTTTATCGAAAGACCTCATTTCTATTTTTTATTGCATAGAGTATATTTATTTATTTATATTCGATTTTATTTTTAGCAATAACAACTAATTAAAATTGCTACTTTAAAGAGCATGCAACGTTCGATATATGTACACTTGAATATTAGCAGTTTTAGTAACTCAAAAAGTTCATAAAAATGTCGTAGAAACGCTCATAGAAGCGTTGCAGCCAATCTCATGCCTTGCCCATGGCATTTGGCACCACAGTGGTGACGAAGTGATCCACATCAAGCTCATCACTTCCAGCCAACTCAGTGCCATTGCCCTCCAATTTGGGGCAATTCTTCTGGGTGGTGTCGATGAGGAATGCCTGCGATATGTCATTGTCGTCTAAGATCTTCTTGGCCGCATCGATTGTCTCCGTTGAAGGTTCGCGTTCACGAGTTAGGATCCAAACAATTTCTGAAATTACAATATCAATTACTATTCTGTCGCAAATGGTTGTCATCCCAAGTAAGTTACGAGACAGCTTGCATGCCAACGTTTTGAGTAGACTTCCGCGTTTACTTACTGAAATTAGCCAAGGGCGTCAGACTAGTGCAACTGTAGACAACGGCATATGATTCATAATCTGTGCCCAGCACCAAGTAGTTGGCCTTCGTTAACGACTCTAAAATGAGTTGGACAATCAGCAAAATAAGCACAAGAGACCAGACCACTCAAAGTTTGGCAATACTCACGGCCGGGATAGAATGCCACCGCCAATTGACCTGGTGCGATCAGCTTAGCCTTTCCAGTCACATTCGATGGATTTCCAGTGCTGTTTTGATTGCATTTGATTAGGTTAATTAATTGTAATTATTATACTTTTTTACTCACAATTGATTGATAGCTGCATTCAGCACAGACACGGTGCTGTTGTCTATAATACCATAATTGGCGTAGATGCATTTCTTTCCGATCTCAAAGGCAAATGGATATTTGGAGTACTCATACCAGACACCCATGTACTAATATTGAATATAATAAATTAAATAATAAAATATTTCCGGCTTAGTTAGTCTAAGCAGATGCTCGTGTGTAAATGAATTCAAAAGTTACAATCTATATAGCGAATTTAATTAATAAGCTCTTTGAACCTAACAAACTCTTGTATTATGTAAATGATTATGAGAATTACGACAAGATAAGAAAACTTTAAATCTTAAGTGGAATTAGTCATCATACGATAAATAGTTTTGTTTATTAGATAAGAAAATTTGATAAGATGTTGGTACCAAAACAGTGAAATGTTCTAGCCAATTGAATTAAAAACAAATTTCAATTAGGGTCTTTGCTTTTATCTTATCATAAATTTGAAAGGGTCTAGAGTTTTCGACCAAATTTCAAGCAAAATCATGTTTGCTATGAAAGGTAATTTATTGATATAACAGTTTAACAATATATAAATGATGGGGTAGTCTTTAAAAAAGTTATTGATGGGGTCGTTGACATTTTATAGTTTCACAGCTAGTCAAAATTGTTTTAATTTATTATTACTTGTTAAATAATAAATTAAATATTGTTTCTTGAATATTAATTAACTATTTGATCGTTTACAGCTCTTGACATTCGCATATCTAACAAGAGTTGCTTGCTTTTCTTTAAAATTATATGAGTAGATTGATTTAGAGGCAATGTGATCGCTTAATTAGAGACTCACCGCCTCCACATCGAAGGTGTCCACTACTTTCACATCCGGACACTTGCCGGGAAATGGAATTTGAGCACTTCCCAGCCAAACTCCATTAACGACCAGCAAGATGAGCAGCCACAAACTGTAACGATAATTAGGTGATATGTAAATGGGGTATGGGCTTATGTTCTTGAGTGTCGCGTACCTCGACCGGTGATGGTGATTCATTGTAGAGGAGAAATTGGTTTCCTAACACTTAGTTTCTGTTCTAGTTCTGACTTAGAACTGAGGTTCGAGTGCAGCTGCCTTGTAACTTTTATATGCGAACTGAGAGAGCTTTGTTTTTGCGCACGAGCTTTTTTCAGTACGCCGACGCAATGTAAACAAAAACAATCGCTTGTGCTGTAAACAAAAGTGAAATGCAGACGATCTGGATGAAAGTTTTGGGGAGAGGGGTTTTGAAATACCCGATTGGCAGTGTTCGCATTATACTCGCTTAGCACATATATAAAATCAGCCCGATGTCATTGTATTATTTACATAATTTTCGTATGCACATCGCGATGATTCGCTGTCGATAAGGGCTTCCGCATTATAAGCGGAACAATTTAAAATGCTATCTAGAGGAGATTATTGTGGGAATTAGTTCAATGCCCTGGTTTTAGTTACTTATTAAATAAACGTTTACAATCTTGGCCAAACAACAATTCAGGAATTATTTTTTTTAGAGATCTATCTGTTTTGTTTTGATTATTACAAAATCGCAAATTTGTTTGATTTGTTATATAGAAATAATAATATTTAATAACTCCATTGATTTCTTTGCTTTTATTTCTCACATTTAAGAACATTCAAATATCGACATTTTTACACTTGAATAATTGCAGTTTAAGTAACATAATTTTGATGGCTTTTGGCACCACAATGGTGACGAAGTCATCCACATCCATAGCATCATCTACTGTTCGGAGCAGTTCTTCTGAGCAGTTTGGACGAGAGGTGCCTGCGATATATTATTATCTACCAAGATCTTCTCGGCCTTATCAATGGTCTCCGTTGAAGGTACACGTTCACGAGTCAAGATCCAAACTAATTCTGGAATTAGAAATTTAATTACAATTTGCAATAGTGAAATAGTTAATCATTAACTTACTAAGATTGGCAAAGGGAGTAACGCTAGTGCAGCTATAGACAACGGCATATGATTCGTAGTCGGTGCCCAAAACCAAGTAGTTAGGCTCCGTTTGCGGCTCTAAAATGAGCTGGACAATAAACAAAACAAACCACTTCATTGCTCGAATTACTCACGGCCGGGAAAGAATTCTACTGCCAATTGACCAGGTCCAAGGAGCTTGGCTGTTCCAGTTATATTCGAGGGCTGTCCAGTGCTGTTTCGACAGTTTTTAATTAATTTAGTTTATTGGAATGAATATGTTTTTTACTAACAGTTGAGATATACCCGCGTTGAGCACAGACACGGTGCTTTCGTCTAATAAACCATAGGTGGCGGAGATGCATTTCCTACCGATCTCAAAGGAAAATGGATACTTTGCGTACTCATACCAGACACCCAGGTACTAAAACAAATGGAAATGGATAAATTAGTCATAACTATTTACTGCTTTAATTTTTGTGTTTTATTATGACTTTAACTTAAACAGATGTTCGTGTATGACTGTAATACAAAGTGCCAGTCTGAAGTGTTCCCTTAATTAATAAGCTCTTTTCACGTAACAAAGCTGTTTATTATGTGATGCAATAAAAAAAAAGTAAAATCAAGAAAACTCAAGTGTGATTTGTTTATATTAAATAATACTTTCTTATTCAACGTGACAATTTCCAATTTTGTTTATTAGACAGGAGCATTTGATTAGACATGGTTGCTTTAAAAATGTAATGAATTAACCAATCAAATAAAAATAGTTTTCAATTGAGGTCTTATCTTGCAGCTGAATAGGCCTAAGACTTCACACGAAGTTCCAAAAGTATTCGCAATCAATATCACTATCAATGGCGCGTGTCTACTATTGAAGATGGAATTAATTTTATAGTTAATAATTTTGACTACGAATTCTAAGTTGATTGAATGAAAACAATGGGAGTGCTAAATCTAAAGACTCACCTCCTCCACATCGAAGGGGTCAACAACTTTGACATCCGGACACTTGCCGGGAAATGGAACTTGGGCACTTCCCAGCCAAACTCCATTGACAACCAGCAAGATGAGCAGCCACAAGCTGTGACGATAATTAAGTAAAAAAAAGTACAAATTATTTTCTAAATAAACACTTTAAAAAGGTATTTGTTAATTATTGAGAGTAGCGCACCTTGACCGGTGAATCATCGTGGTGATGAATTTAGTGAAACGAATGAACTACTTTTGGATTAGAACTGATGTTCGACTGTAGCTGCCTAGTCACTTTTATATGCAAACTGAGTGACAGCGAGCTTTTAATTATCTTTTTTTGGACTTAGTTATTATCATTATCAAAAATATTCTACTTGACTGAGTCTATGCTTCACATTAGTGCGAGGCATGTCAAAAAATAAGCTTCGGAATGTTAAGAAAATATTTAAAAATTTTTTTTTTTTAATATATTAACTTTATTTTAGTTTTTAGACAACAAGTCAACAAATCTAATGGATCAAGTTATTGGGGTTATAAAAGCAGTTTAGTTTAGTTTATCGAACTCATCAAAAAATGTATTAAAATATATTTTTGTAAATTTACTTTTTATATTTACATATTATAAATATTAAATATAATATTTAATTAATTAAATATATAGTTTAATATAAACGAAAATGTTTTTTCTTATCATCCACTGAAAGCAAAGCTTTTTCCCCCATGTGGATTGCATTTTTGGCGCCATCTATTCACGCTTCTGACGGCGCCATCTGTTGAGCGCTTTGCTTTTTGCTCGATGAAATAAATTAAATTTTTCGTATATTTGAGGTTCCTTCAGCTCGTATCCTTTATCTCGCACTCAACCTGGACAGGAAAACTGTTGACAGTAGCGAGATTTCTGCGGTTTTTTCTCTTTTTGCAGATGGAAGATGAAGAGAAATTACGTTGCCCCATATATTATTAAATTAATTAAATGTAAACCACAAATTGAGTTAAATGTGCAAAAATGCCCGCCGGACGAATGCTGACGAAGGGGTTTTTTGGGTTGAAATGAGATTTTCCAGGTGATGTATGTTTCGGCTAGGGTGGATTGAATAGTGTCCGTACAACTACTAAATATAATACATTTCATTCTAGTTTTAAATATTTTTTAACTGCTTTCAGTATGATTTTACAGCTAAACATATAAATACATTTCTGTCCATAAACTTAATATAGATTTATTAGCTGTTGACTAAGAGCTACCCTCGTTAATGTTCTCATATTTTTTTTCCATATGCGGCTTGTGCAGATTTTGAATGGCCAGCCAACTATTTGGGGTATGGGAATTTATAGCGCATTGCCCCCTGAAAGGATTGCCCCATTCGGATGGATGGATGGTTGGATGGATGGATGGCCTCTGCTCGGATTTGCTGTGGCTGCCACTGTTTGTTGCAGGCAGCGTGTAGTAATTAAATTTAAAATATGTACACATTTGCCGGACATCTGAGCTTAAAAACAGGTGCAATGCTTGAGGGGGAATGGGGATCTGGGCTTCCAGGGATAATTTGATCAAAGGCAACCATAAGCCTGCAGCTGGGAGTGGACAGATGAGAGCCGGCTGGTTATTACAGGCCAGAAGTGCAGTTTTCATCCATATTTCCTCTGCCGACGACAGGGGCGTATTTTGGAAGTAGTCCCAAAGGGCCATACTCTTTTTATTTAATTAATTTTAATTTACTTATATTATTATTTTCAAATTTTAGTTCATATTTGGGGTTGAGTCCTTAGCATTTCCTGCGGTTGGTCCCCTTTGCGACCTGTCACTGTGGTCCATAAATGCGGTTCAAAGTGCATTGACAATCGGAGTGGAGTGCGTGATTAACATACAACGATGGAAATTGATTTTAAAAGAATTTCATTACCTTAGAAATATTCAGCAGAAAAAGTTAATAAGAAAAGTTTTGAGACTTTAAAAATATAAAATAATATTAAAAAAATCTATACATGTATAAAATTCCCTTAAATTTATTATATATATAAATAATATTTCCAAAAATGAATTTAAAAGAAGCACCTTCAATAAACACCTTTAATAAAATGTTTAATGATTATAATGGTCTACATAGGATACAAATTTATAATATACCTAGATTAGGAATAAAAAAAAAAGCGGTTAACATCCAAAAAGATCGTGTCACGTTGGCATTTCCAAAATCCCTGCCCTGTCCACAATTCAATCACTTTGCCATTTTAAGTGCTCGAATATTTTGTGGTTATTCATTCGCTTTATGGGCATTTTGTTGAATGTAATTTGATTTAAACAGAATTTGGCCTGATATATAAAAATCAGTGCAGTGCCACAGGATATGGGAAAATATATATGTAAATATATATGTAGAGCGCGCGTGTGGCTATTTAATTAAGTGGCTACCTTTAAAGCCAGCCGCCAAAATTGAATTAATTTTGATTATTTTTGCAGTTCAGATGGGTTCAGGTTGCAACTGCTGCAGCAATCAACAGTTGACATAAAAAAGGAGTCCCATTCCCCTTTCCCCCGAAGGGGGATCACACTAAACTGTCGGCTAAATAACATTCAAGCGAGGACAGCTGGAACAGCAGCAACATCAAGTGGGTGGAGACACACTCCGGCGACCTTTAACCCCAGCGTGGGAGCTGTGAAAAGGGGGGTTGGGGTGGGGAAGGCGTGGGAATTGCAAAACATGACGCAATTTGTGCTCGCTTTTGTTGGCTGCTCCCTTTTGCATGCCATTCTCCTAGGATATTACCAACTGCTCGTGTTCTCCTACGCACGCAATGGGCCATATATCAGGATGGTTCCAGGGGGCAGGGAGCTGATAGCCAAGTGCCGCCATTAAACAGAGATATGGCCAAGAAGTTCGAGCCAAAAAAAAACACTGCAAGTCTGGGAAATAACTCAAAAGGAATAATTGATAAGGAATTTAAACATAAATCCACAAGACTTCTTATCTATATTTGATGACATTGTAACCAAACCATAAATGCTTTACTTGTTAAGGTTATTCTGAGAACTAAGATTTAGGCTAGTCATATATTATCATATATTATAATAAGAAATACGGCCAAAAAATAACTCAAAAGGAAAAGTTGAAAAGGAATTGAAAAGCTTAAACCTAATCATCTTTCATTGAAAAAAATAATTGGCTCAGAGCTACATTTTAACTCCACGAGACTTTCAATCCGTATTTTCTGATAATTTATCCTAAATTGTATGAAACTTTAAATAATCTATAATCGCGAAGATAATACTAACTATAACGTTTTAAATTTTTCAATTTAAATCGAAATGGTAATTTTTTAATAATTACTGAAGCACATTTTAGTAATCAAAAGAAACTTGCTAGTATGTATTACCTTAATCGCTTACAACATATGTACATACATCATCTTTTAATCCATCAAGTGTGCCCCTTCATTGCAGCAATTTGTACCACATTTATCTTTTCACATTTGATCTTTTATAGTTTTCTTGTACCGAATACCCTCTTAATCTTTACATCCAACATAATACCCACCTGATCACCTGCCACACCATAAAACCAAACCATTCGCACAGCCATATCCCAAGTTTTTCCACCTTATTTTGATGTTGCAATCGTGGACAAATTTATTTATTTAGCACATTGTTTTTCGCATCGCTCCTTTGGGCATCAGTTGTGCACCCGACTCAAACAAAAAAAAAAAAAAGAAGAAAATATTGGGAAAACGCGGAAAAGTCTGGCACACAAGAAAGCTAACATTGAGAACAATAACAATAACAACTCGTGGCAGACAACAAAGGACAAGGGGGGTTACCAAGTCTCGAAAGTATTTTGATTTGTGAAATGCTCGTAAGTATTGTCGTTTTTGGCGCTGGCGCTGGTAGCAATTTCTTAAATTTTTTATAGCGCATAACCTGTCTGGCACACATGTGCAAGCCCCCTTAGAAAAATCTCTCCCAAACCAAACTAACTGAGGGAAAAACCCACCCACAAACGCAGTTCGCAGGACGAAGACGTTGGCAAACGCTTATTGCATTATCCTTCTTGGCCAGAGGCAGTCACTCCCCCGGATAGATGTCGGTCTATGGAAGTGGAAGTGTTCAGGAAGATATATCCGCGCCAACTGCCGCAGCTGATGCCACTTTTGGCTCGTGGCAGCCGCGGGCTGTTTGCCTGTTTGTTGTTATCCCGGTTATGGCTGCAGCGCCACGGCCAACAAAATCATATTCCATCGAGGGTACAACGAATACCTTCTACACTCCCCGGAGATATCGCTCAGACTAAAGACCTTTGCAGACAAAGTAAAGTCATGTTTTATTATTTACATAAACAAAAGAAACTATTTTTAAGATTTAGTAAGGCATATCAAGAATTCTGTTATTATATCAGATGGGACTTTTAATGAATGATAACATTTCTTATTCATTACTAGAAAAGAACATAAACATAAGTGCAAATCTTAAAATTTTGTTTTAAAATTATAAACCAGGCAAATAAAGCTCATGTTTTGTTCCTAAAATAAATATAATAAGAGCCCCTGGCGTTTTAAATATTTGTAAGGTTCAGTAATAAAGATTATTTAAAACGCTGAATACATGATAAGCACCCATGAAATGGTTTAAGCTTATTTGGCCATATTGGCTTACACTTTGACTTTTTATATATCTCAAAATATTTACCTTAATAATATTTTAGAGATCCTCTTCTTTTCAAATAATACTAGAATTCTTTAAGGATTTTATTAAGTTTTAACTTTTCTTATAAAAACTACTATGCCTTTCCAACAAGGAAAGGAATCATGAAAATTGGCACGGCTTCAGCTGCTCCCACACCTCATACTCATCACTACCCCCACTTGCTTTATTCTTCCCCAAAATGCTTGGCGAGAAATGTTAATACCGAAAAAAGCGAACCATTTGCCGCAATGAAAATCGCGTAAATTTCATACTGATTGTAAGTGTCGCCGTTTTCTTGACGTTGCCATGAAGGCAAAAGCTAGACGTACAACACACAGATAAAATTTGGAAATTTTAAAGATAAATACATTAGTTTGACATAAGTTTGTCATTAAAATAATTTAAGGTTTGCTTTACAAACTCCTGTCTATTTCATTGGTAAAAAAAATGATTTAATACATATTTGAAAATAAAAGAGGAGACACGAAAGCCTTGCCAAAAATTTTTTACTTCTGTAAAATTATTTGACTACGAAAAATGTTGAAAAAAAGTATTACAATGTATTTTAAAAATATCACATAAATGGAATAAAAATGAAAAACAATTC